CCTGCCCCCCGGCTCACAGGCAGTAGAGGATGAGCCCCAGGAAGACGAAGACGTAGTTGCTCTGGAAATACTCCACGTTGCGAGCCAGGCGCTGGCAGAGCTCCCCGAAGTTCCGGGGCTTCCCGAACCGGCGCTGGTCGGCGAAGGTGCCCCAGGGGCGCAGGGTGGCCCGGCGCTGCTCCAGCCACTTCTTGGCGGGGCCCTGGGGCAGCAGGGCCGGGATGGAGATCCTGGGGGGCCGAGAGATGGGGCACCTCTGAGCCGCAGCGCCCCCCACGGCGCCCCCACCCTGCTCCCTGCCCCCCGGTGCCCCCACCACACAGCCTGCCCCACGGCGCCCCCACCCTGCTCCCTGCCCCACGGCACCCGCTACTGAGCCCCTGCCCCACCGCACCCCCATTAACCCCCCACCCTGTTCCCTGCCCCACGCCACCCCCACCACCCCCTGCCCCACAGCACCCCCTACTGAGCCCTGGCCGCACTCCCTGCCCCACGACGCTCTCACTAAGCCCCCAGCCCCACTCCCTGCCCCACAGCACCCCACTGACCCTCCCACTCCGCTCCCTGCCCCACAGCACCCCCACTGACCCTCCCACTCCGCTCCCTGCCCCACAGCACCCCACTGACCCCCACTCCGCTCCCTGCCCCACAGCGCCCCCTATCACCCCCCTGGGGCGGTCGCAGCTCCCTACTTGGTGCCGAGGGGTCCCGCCGCCTCCTGCTCGGCGGGCGGGGCGCAGGGATGCTCCGAGCCGCCTTTCCCGGCCATGGTGCTCAGCGCCCGGGGGCTGCGGCGGGAGGGGGGGGGGGTCAGGACGTGAACCCGGCCCCGCCCCCCGGGGGCTGCAGCTTGGCTGGCGGGGGGGGGGGATGCGGGACTTCCGCCTCCCGGGTTGCTATGGCGACGGCTGCCCTCACCTGCCCCCTGGTCCAGCGCGGCCGGCGATCGCTGCCTCGACGTGGCAACCGGGCCGGGGGGGGCGGGGGGGCCGAGCGGAACTTTGGGGCGGGCCGCGGTGCATGCTGGGAAATGGAGTCTGGGCAGCAAAGGCTTGTGGGAGATGGAGTCCAGCTCCCCTCCCCCCCCACACTGTGCGGGGAGGGCCGGGGGGGGG